CTATATTGATCAGTTCAGGCACGTAGCCCGGATTTTGTTTCGAGGGGGCCCGCCCTTGACAAAATGCTGTATAAGGGGAAGGAGGGAGAGGAGGCCCCAGCAAAATGGAAAATTTCGGGGGGGGGGGGGGGGTGGCATGCCCCTCCCCCCTGGTTACGTACCTGGATCAGGTTAAACGACCATATTATAAAGTAATAAGAGGGAAGACCGGCTATGGCTGGGTCTAGGCAGTGCCGACAAAAGTGTGGGTCCTGACTTATTTTCATCTCTGCTTATCTGCATTCGGACATCTATTTCAGGACTGTCAAGGGACACATAGCCCATGTGATATTTGTTATATATTGGGGTATACAGTGGAAGCCTCATTCATACAACCTTTTATTCAAATGTATGAAGAAGTTGACTTCTAGACAGCACTCTCTTTTTATGTATTGGCCATGCAAACACAAAATAATCAGCGATGTATCTCTCTATACTGAAACATTTTGGAACAATGCAGTACACTCAAGAACAAGGCATATGTATGCACCCAGTGAGAGAATCCTCATTACAAGAGTCTGCAGGCATAAGCAGATGACAATTCCAACGATTCTACTAGAAATGTTGTGGCTTACCAAAATAATGAAATGGCATTGTTCTTCGAAATAGAGTGATACCTAATATATTATGAAAAGACATAACTAATGAAGTAAAATTTTGTACCATTGAATAGATGCTATTCGGTAAACAGTCAGCCTGACACTAAGAAACTAATAAAACTATTTACTAAGAGTAGAAAGTCTTTGCCTAGAAAAGCTGTAGATGTTCCTATTTGTATAGTCTACAGCTTCATCTAGCTGTGCACTGTAGGAATGCTTACAGTGGTGCAGAATGATACACCATTGAAGTAGAACTGTTCGTGCTATTCCAGCGCATTTAGTTTCCATTAATTTCCTTTACAGGGAGGAAAAAGACGACGAAGTGTTCCCACGCCGAAGCACATTCTCATCGCTCTTCAATATTTAGTTAGATAGCTATTCTTAAATTGAACCTGCCGGTAGTGAGGTCACCCACCATCGACCTGAACGACGCCATGGCCACGGGGGACGGGGTTCAACCGCCCCCCGATCACCACACGGCATCTGTCAGCGGCTTGGTCCTTTCACCTGCGACACTCCAGCCACCTGCGTTACTGAATGGCAAGTACACAAACGAGGACGGATCTTTGACGCCCGAAACTAAAATGTGTATCGACTCCCTGACCCCCGGACAACAATTTCCTAGTTTTACTGACACAGAAAATGGCTCTACCACAGATGACGAAGGTTTCACTCTTGTGAAGTACAAGAAAGCAAAGAAACGGTGTCATGAGGCCAAGTCACTATCCTCGAGCAGCAGTACGATCATATCTGTGGACTCAAAGAAATCGTCTCTTACTGTCATCTTCATGCCAGTAGACCAAACAAAAGTGATCACCAAATTAAACCAACTAAGACTGTCAGAGCTGCTTGAGTCGAAAGCGCCCGGCTCCATAATTCAGATCAGACCGAACTACAGGCTCAACTTGATATCTGTGGATATACGAAATAATGACGGCCTGTCATCTCTCCTGAAGGTGACCTCTCTGTTGGGTATCTCTGTCAGACCCTTTGAGCCCCGTTCTCAAGCCCAGGCAACTGGAGTCATCAGAGGAGTCGATACCAACATCGACAGTGATGAAATTCTTGCACAGCTAAAGGCCAACAACAACGCATCGGTTACATCAGTTCGTCGAATGGGTACGTCCACCACAGTAGCCATAACTGTCTCGTCGTCAAGACTTCCTGAGTACGTTCTCCTCGGTCTAGTACGCCACAAGGTAGAGCCATTTTTGGAAAAGCCAGTTCAATGCCATCAATGCTGTCATTTTGGACACGTTAGGTCCACTTGCCGTAACTCTCCAACGTGTTCCCGTTGCGCCGGACCACACCAGCGAAATGACTGTGATGCTGATACAGCGACAGTTCGGTGCTGTAACTGTGGTAAAGAACACGAAGCGACATCGCATCAATGTGCAAAATGGAAACATGAGTTGGAAATACGTCACCAAAGACAAGTAGCTGGGAGCACATCACCCGCTAAACCTGCCCAGGACACGGTCAACAGTGCTCTTGAACAAAACATACCTGGCCTACTAGATCCTCAACGCGATGCGCGAATCTTTAAGAATACAAAGCCGAACACCGGCTCCACTGGATACATTGAGCAACAGACGACAAATACTTCTATGAAGGACAAAGCCTCGTCTCAACAAGGACGCTCGACTGATGTTCCTGAGTCCCGAAAGCGTACTCAAGGCCGGTGGCAAATACCTCAAAAACAACCTTACAAAGACGCGCTGGTAGGAACGTTATCAAGAAAACAAGAGTCAAGACCTGAAAAAGACCCTCCTTCTTCGCCAGAAGCAACATCTGGGATCTGGTCAACAATTATCATCATTGCAGAAAGTCGCATACGACAGTATCTCACCCAGTGCACGTCCCCAGTGGCTCACCTTGCTCTGCAAGCATTAGATATTTTTTTCCCAATTTTAATTAATTTAATAAGCTAGAATATGGACATATCAACAACTGCCGCGCACTAAGGTGTGCACTGCCTCCATTGAAGAACTAATTAGTGACTCAACACTATTCCAATGGAATGCAAGAGGACTCCAGTCAAACATGTGAGATTTTCGACAATTCACACATCATCATCACTTCCCTATAATTATAATATGTGAACCAAACCTTCCAAAAGATTTTAGGCTCTCAGGGTACGAGATTTTCACATCCCTGCGGTCAAATGGACCCAGTCGAGTTACACTTGCTATACGCAAAGACCTTACATATGTCAATCATCTCGTTACACCCCATGCTGACAATGAATACGTATCTGCCACAGTAAGAAACGGCAATCGCTCATTTTCAGTTATAGCGGCCTACATATCACCACGTGCAAAATTTGATGGCGCGCACTTTGAAGTTGTAATGAACAACTGCGCTCCCCCTTACATCCTGTCAGGCGATTTCAACGCCCACCATCCCATTTGGGGAGGTACTCATATAAACAATCGAGGCAGAAAAGTTTTAGACTCTTTGAACTTACACAGCCTAAACATATTGAACGATAGTAGTCCCACATACCTACGCGGCACTACATACAGTAGCTGCCTCGACCTAACTTTCGTCTCTCAAGAACTGGTGCCTTATAGCTTGTGGTTTACTGATATCGAAACACGCGGCAGTGACCATATCCCAACTTACACCATCCTGAAGGGATTTTCAAGCCGAAAAATTCGCCACACTATTCGTCGTACAAATTGGCAAGCCTACCAAACATCAATGGAGTCTTTCTACGAGTCTTCTACTAACCTTCAAGACTTCAGTGATGCTGTTGCTGTTGCTGCCAAAAGTGAAACGAGAAGCTATAATCTTCCTGCGACCCGGACTGCAATCGATGGGGAATATGAACATCTACGTGCTAAGCGTCGTCGCTCGGAAAGACGGTACCGAAGGACCAAAGATATGAAGGATCTACGTGAATCTCGCCGCACGCAGAAAAAAATAGGTCGATACCTACAGAAACTAGGAAGGGTCAAATGGAGGACGAATTGCTCAAAGTTAGATCCAAGGAAACCTCTTACGGGAGTCTGGCGTATGGCGCGTGGACAACGGACACCTCAACAGCAACGATATCCGTTCCGTGCTTTATCTCTGCTCCTAAGCGTGACTGAGATGGAGGTCGCCGAGAACTTCTGCAGCCGTCTCACCCAACAGCCGGCGGGTTCTAATTTATCGTTTGGTCCCATGCAAGCAATCGTGCCACCTTCGTCCGACGACAGAATGAATTTTCCCTTTCGGCCAGATGAACTCCAGGCAGCTTTGGCTACAGTGAAGCGGACCTCGACTCCGGGACCCGACGACGTTACGTATAGTGCCCTTGCCAACCTAGGCCCACGAGGTCAGAAACAACTTCTTGATTTGTTCAACAATTCATGGGAAACGGGTCAGGTACCATCAGTATGGAAGAAGGGGCGTATCATACCCATTCTCAAACCAGGAAAGTCGCCTTACGACATATCATCTTATAGACCAATAGCTTTATCAAGCTGCATTGGGAAGCTAATGGAGAAAATGGTAAATCATCGCCTTGAATGGTACCTAGAAAATACCGATCAGTATCCGGACGTAATGTCTGGATTTCGACGTGGACGAAGTTCTTTGGACAACGTCATAGACCTCGTCACCTTTATAGAACAAAACAAGATGGAACGACGAATAACTACAGCCGTCTTCCTTGATGTCATGGGCGCATACGACAATGTGACCCATGAGGCCGTTTTAAATGCGGTAGAGGAACTTGGAATTGGTGGTCGCATGTTCTCCTGGTTAGAGAGCTACCTCACAGGAAGATCTATATATATGTCAACGTACGACGGAAATACAAGTTCTCACATCCTCACAAAAGGCGTACCACAAGGCGGGGTATTAAGCCCAATTTTGTTTAATATGGTTTTGATAAATCTAATCCGCGAATTACCAACCACGGTACATGCATCTATTTATGCTGATGACATTTGTATCTGGGCGACCGGTGTCACACGTCCTCAGATACGGGCGAGACTCCAAAGCGCTCTGAAAGTTACCCATAAGTATCTCATCGAACGTGGACTTCAAATATCAACTTCCAAATCAGCTGCGATTACGTTTTCCCGCAAGTTAATGGACAGATACCCTATTACTATCTGTGGAGAAAAAATTCCGTACTTCCGGAAGCATACGTTTCTAGGAATAACTTTGGATCGAGGCTTAACGTGGACGCCTCATGTATCCCGACTTAAAATGAAGCTGACATCCATAGTGCATTTTATGCGATTCATCAGTGGCACAACATGGGGCGCAACTGTTGGTTGCCTACAGCGACTTTTCGAAGCCTTCTTCCTCGGACTTCTGAGGTACACCTTACCGGTTATCAACAACACCTGCATTACCAATATACGAGCCCTCCAAAGCATCCAGGCGCAAGCTCTACGAACCTGTTTAGGGCTACCCCGCTCTGCTTCGACGCCCGGGACCATTGCGGAGGCTCGCAGGTTTCCAATTAAAGCATACATGATACAAGAGACACTGCGGTTGCACTTGAGGCACCTTACACAACATTCTCGCCATCACTTAGCAACGTTACCAACAAACAGACCGAAGTCCAGCTTCTCCAGAACGATAAGAAAGCACAATACTACTCTAAATAATTTCAATCGACCATCTATTAAGAGCATACCGCCATGGACATTCTTGACTCCAGAAGTAGTGCCGTACATCAAAGGCATTCATAAGAAGTCATCAACTCCACTGCCTGTACTTAAACAACTGACATTAAGGGTCATAAATGAAACATATGGCTCGACGACACATGTATACACCGACGGGTCCTCCTCTGAAGAACGAGCTGGATCTGGGATTGTAATACCCGCCCACAGTAATTCCTCCAGTTTTGAAATTGGACACAAAACGACATCAACGGCATCTGAGCTAGCGGCCATACGAGAGGCAGTAAGGTACATCCTATGTCAGGCACCCCAGAACTGGACCATCTTCAGTGACTCAAGACCAGCGCTACAAATAATCCAGTCTTCTATGAAAAATAATGCGTACGACTTTCTGGCATACCAAATCTTCTGCACCTGCCACCGGGCCCTCCAGCAGGGTCATCACATAACTCTTCAGTGGATACCAGGTCATTGTGGTGTCGCCGGCAATGAGGCAGCAGATAGTGCAGCAAAATCAACCAGTAACGGCAAGAAAATTTGCATACCCTACTCCAGATGGGACACAAAAATTCTGGTTCAAGACGTGGCAAAAGAAATTTCACAAAACTATTGGATGAATCCACATTACCACCATCCCAGGCTATACTCCCTTGATCCCCAACTTGCATTCCGCGTTCCATCTGGACTTTCAAGACAGCTAGAGGCGGTCCTGCACCGACTAAGGCTTGGTGTGGCATATACACCGCAGTTCCTTTATCGAATTCAAAGGAGAGATTCCGCGAACTGTCCAAGCTGCGAAGTTGAAGGGACAATTCAACACATCCTGTGTGAATGTGATAAATTTAACGAGGATCGACAAGTGCTGGAACAGACATTAATGGCGTTGGACTCGCGGCCTTTCTGCTCATCAAAAGTGCTTGGTGCCTGGGACACAACTCACCAATTCATGAAGGCCACGAAGGCCTTGGTAATGTTCCTCACAAACACAGAATTATCAGACACTTTGTAGGGTGCTTAAAAATGCCTGTGAGATTTTAATCAATTGTACCATTGCTCACCCTCATTGACAACTTCACCTCATCTTTCTTCCTCATTGTCATACCTTTTCTTCCCCCTCCCCCTTTTCCCCAGTACAGAGTAGCCAACCAGAACCTACGTTCAGGTTAACCTCTCTGTCCTTCCTTAATAAACCCTTCTCTCTCTCCTTTCCAGGCTCCAAACCTCATCAAGACATTTTGCTGACATTTTCTGGGGGAAGCCAAGCCCCCAATATTTTGTCACTTATGCTTGAGAGGTTGTGTGAATTTTCGCAGTGGTAAGAGAAACATAAATATTTTAATGGAAATTTTACAAAAGAAAAAACAGTGTAGATACCACACGATGTTAGCGCATTTCCTTTCCCTTAATTGGAGCTCAGTATGTGCCTCACCTAAAGAGATTCATGTTTTACAGCAGTACCACATTTTAACGGCTAATATTTTTTCCATATGTTAGGGTTATGTGGACATTAACATAGGAAATGATCATTGATTCAGGATGAAAACAGTACTTCCTTTAAGCCCACCACCCCTAACTTATGAAGAAGAAAATTACCTTCTGAAATATGGTATGACTGTGAAGGCAGTGGATGATCACCACAGAAGCCAAGAATGTTGAAACTTTGTGAAGGAGACGTGATGTCACAGATACTGCTGAGTTGTACTATAGGTTTTTTTTTTACTTTGTTTTGTTCACTTGCTCCTTGTTTTGTTTGACTGGTCCCACTATCATGCTTGTTATTTCATCCTTATTCGCTCCTTCTTTGTTCCATGCCTGTGCCATTTCTCTGCCAGTTACCCGGTTTCTCTTTTCAAGGAGTGCCACCCTTTTCTCTTGTTGGCAATGCACTCTAACCATACTCTCTGATTTTAAGAAGAAATAAATGTACCAATATCTTTATTAAATGTTCCTTACTTTGGCAGTTAATTGGTCAGCCATCATTACTGAATGCCTAATCAATGACATTGCCCTAGAGCAGTGTTCTAACAACTAACCCAAAAAGTTTGAGTTTATTGGCTACATGCAATCACCACTATACAGGAGACTCCAGGCAGCATGGTGTTGAATATACTGTACATATACATGGCTTGCACGTGACGTTAATCCGTCCTTCTTTCTGGTAGCCAGAAGCGCCTCCTTAACGCAGCGGAAGCTACGCTCCCACGCGCCCTCTACCCATTGTCCGCCCGTCTTTCTGGTTGTGGGAAGCGCATTGTTAACACAGCTTAAGCTACGCTGTCGCGCACCCTTTCATATACATATGATATACATATCATACATACACATCATATACAAAGCTGTGCAAGCTTTGTATATGATATTGCAACTTGCTTCCAAGAAAGTTCGGTTAAACGCTAGCGCGTTGGCACCAACATCTGACAAGGTTTATTCGCTGCCACATAGACACACGGACGGCGGCTGCCCTTTGCAAGGTTTACGACAAACGTCTGCACTTGGGCATAACTTGCTATGTGGTCCACTTCACAGAGAACAGAGGAGACATGTGAGATTAAGAGTAGTTTTATATAGATAATGTTCTTCGTGACAATACTTCGAAATCCTGCTGAAAATATGGACCATTTTTTTTATGTGGGTACTATCCGCGACTCCAAGCACGTGCTTTCAGGCCCTCACTAAACAGCTTCGTATTTTCACCACCACACGACCAACAATCTCGTTGCATAAGAGTAAATCAGCGCGAGACCCTTGCTGGGCAGGCTCGAATATAGAATGCTACGTGCCGTTTGTTTAGTTGGAGTCGCGAATAACAGTGACTATATGAAGAAAAAAAAAGAATTAGAGAATTTTTACTTTTTATCATGTGCTTCCCTTCGGTTTCTCCAATAGGTGAAAGTAAAATGAAAAGGCTGCCCTGACATGCCGAGGTGCCTGTTGTAAGACAAACAGTGGAGAAGCATTCTTTGCTGCACTTCGGCAAGGCCGGATCATCTGTGGGACGCCGACATCAAGACGTACCACGAGTAGATCATAAGACTACGCATGCTTTTCTCTTTTCCTGCATCTAATCATTGTTGATGCCAAAAGTCATACATAATTTCTCACCAGACAACATGGAAAGGCCATGACAGCAAGAAAAAAAAAAGAACTGATAAGACTTGACATTTATAGCTATGCGCCGAGAAACTGAGGGAAAGGAGGAGGCGAGAGTGCGCGGGGACGTCAGAACGCGGAGCTCCGATTGGAAAGATTAGTAAACAGACATTAAGATAGCTGCCTTTGTCTGCACTGCACTCGTCAAACGCGTTCGAAGGCGAAAGCCAAACGCTTGATGCCGGCGTTCCGCGTTCTATCGTGTCCGACGAGTGCAGCGGAGACGAAGGCAGCCTTTGTCTCCAGTTCACTTGTTGAACAGACTCAGATACAAAATCCAAACGCCGGCGTTTCTAATTTTAACGCGTTCGACGAGTGGAGTGGAGACAAAGGCAGCTAGCTTTAAGTCTATCCACTAGTCTTTCCAATGAGTGCTCGTTGTTCTGACATCTCCGCGCACTCTCGTTACATCCTCTCTCTGACTTTCTTAGTGCACATTCAAGTGATAACAAACTCCTTGTGTATACCACATCATACACATACCGGGAGGGCGGCTGCCTCATTCTCGGTCAACTAGGAAAGAGTGAAAAGCACGCGCCCTACAAATTTTCCATTTTGCTTCATAAGCGTATATCCTCCCCTTCCAGGTGGTAAAATATGTATCGAAGTCACTTGTGCTTTAATATTTTGAAAGTTACCGTAATTTTGTTTTTCGCTTTGGCTAAAAAGTCTCTTGCGTAACAAAATTAGTATTGGTTGCACCACGGAGATTTTCGTAGTGTATTTATGTGGTTCACATCAAGCTGACAGATATTTAATTGTTTAGATATCCGAAGAAGTAACAAAACAAAAATGATAATAAAAAAGCCGTTTACGACTCCCTCATGGATGAAGAAAGAATAAAACAATTAAAAGAGGGACAACACAACCACATCTTTCAACTAGCAACAGACGAGTAAACTTTCCACAGCGAGCTGCCGACTATACCCAGTAGGAGTAGGGGAGAGAAGGGGGAGAGAAGGAAAGATAAGAAACGCGAAGTGCAAGTCAACCTTCCCGTCGACCTTCTCCGATCTGTAACGGAAAGGATGATTCGCGGGCCTGATCGCCAGTCACCAGCCACAAAAAGAAAGCCCGATTCGCCGTCATTCCTTACGTACACAATTCAGCCCACCGGATAAAATCCATTGCCTCAAAGTTCGACACGAATGTTGTCTTCTCGTGCCGCATGCGTCTTAAACAACTCTGTCAACAAGTGAACGACAACCGGATTCCGATTGTCTGCACTGTCAAACACGAAAAGAAATTCATTCCATGCAAAGAAAAGAAAGTTTACTCCATCCCCTTGAGCTGCGGCCATCAATACGTAGGACAGACCGGCAGATACACCAATCACAGACTCTGCGAACATCACAACGAAGAATCTAAGGCCTCTCCAGACTCTTATCATCCGATAGTCATACATGCCCGTTCGTGTTTGCGTTGTCATCCCCTCTTTGATGACACAAAAACCCTGGGGGGGCATGACAGAAGATTCGGCAGGAAAATCATAGAATCATTCGCCATGAACACAGCAAAAAAACAACGTGTCAAACCCTTCCCTCCTGCTAACGAAAACTGAGGTTGAATTTTTAAAATCCGAGATAACCCTACCACCCTGACTTGCACTTCGCGTTTCTTATCTTTCCTTCTCTCCCCGTTTTTTCCCCTACTCCTACTGGGTATAGTCGGCTGCTCGCTGTTGTAAGTTTACTCGTCTGTTGCTAGTTGAAAGATGTGGTAGTGTTGTCCCTGTTTTAATTGTTTTATTCTTTCTTCATCCATGACTTAAACTAACACGCACTTCTCCCAAGCATTCTTAATTACAGACCCATTTCGTTAACCAGCACCCCCTGCAAACTTTTAGAGCACATTATTTATTCTCCCTTAGTTAATTTCTTAGATTCAAATTCTTTCTTTTCACCCTCACAACATGGTTTTCGCAAATCTCTTTCTTGTGAGACTCAGCTTCTGTCCTTCACTAATGACCTACTTTCCATTCTTGACCGTGGGTCCCAGGTTGACTGTGTGTTTCTTGATTTCGCCAAAGCTTTTGATAAAGTTTCTCATAAACTATTACTTTTTAAACTTAGCAAACTTAACATTGATCGTAATGTTTTGTCGTGGATTACATGTTTCCTAACTAATCGATTTCAATATGTTTGTGCAAATGAAACTAATTCTTACCTTAGTCCTGTTACCTCTGGTGTCCCACAAGGTTCCGTTTTAGGACCTCTTTTGTTCCTCATTTATATAAATGACTTACCACTGTGTGTATCATCCTCAATAAGTTTATTTGCCGATGACTGTGTAATTTATCGTGAAATAACTAACGATTCTGACGCAACACTACTTCAATGTGACCTGTGTGCTGTATCCGAATGGTGTAACTTATGGAAAATGACTCTTAACACTAACAAATGCAAATTCATGAGGGTTTCCCGTCGGAACACCTCCCCATCACCATACTCAATTTCTAACAACCTACTGGAATCTGTGACGTCTTACAAATATCTTGGTGTTCACATTACTTCTAACGTTTCATGGAAATTACATACTGATCATATTATCGCTAACGCTAACTCTATGCTTGGATATCTGAAAAGAAACTTCTCTTTAGCCCCAATATCATTAAAATTGCTTCTGTACAAAACTCTAGTTCGTTCAAAATTAGAGTACGCCTCATCAGTCTGGGACCCCGGTCACTCAACGCTTGTGACTAACGTTGAAGCTGTTCAAAATCGTGGAGTACGTTTTATCTATTCTATCATCGCACCGCTAGCGTATCATCTGTGAAAACCTCATTGTCCCTGCCTCTTCTTATATCTCGTCTATGCCTTTTCAACAAAATTTATAATTTCAACGCTTCACTAAAGGATAAGTTATTCCTTAACCCCGCAAATATCTCTTCACGCATTGATCATCGTTTCGAGCCCGGCATCCCTCACTGTGAGACATCAGCATACAACGACTCTTTCATACCAAGAACGTCTTCTGAGTGGAACCACCTTCAAGCATCTTTAGCAGCTATCCCATCACTTGATTTATTTAAAGAAGCGCTTACTAATCACTTTTGTTAATATTTTGTCGAATTGATTGTGTTTTAATCACTGCCTTTTACGTTTATATTTTCTTTTGAGTGAAATCTTATATGCCCCACCCCCTCTGTAATGCCCTATGGGCCCTGAGG